GTGCATTGTGGATGAGTCTCAAGCGATAAGAGAGGTGGCTCTTTATCTCTTCACACACGTCGTTCCTCGTGAGTCAAAAAGAGGGTAAATGGGCTTGGGAGGGGTGGGAAGGGGTGGGGAGGGGTTGTGTGAGTGGAGTGTGGGTGCTGGCGGGGCTGCTGCAGAGGGATTATGTCAAGTGGAGGGGGGCGCTGGTGCTGCGCGTGCTGCTGTGCATTGTGGATGAGTCTCAAGCGATAAGAGAGGTGGCTCTTTATCTCTTCACACACGTCGTTCCTCGTGAGTCAAAAAGAGGGTAAATGGGCTTGGGAGGGGTGGGAAGGGGTGGGGAGGGGTTGTGTGAGTGGAGTGTGGGTGCTGGCGGGGCTGCTGCAGAGGGATTATGTCAAGTGGAGGGGGGCGCTGGTGCTGCGCGTGCTGCTGTGCATTGTGGATGAGTCTCAAGCGATAAGAGAGGTGGCTCTTTATCTCTTCACACACGTCGTTCCTCGTGAGTCAAAAAGAGGGTAAATGGGCTTGGGAGGGGTGGGAAGGGGTGGGGAGGGGTTGTGTGAGTGGAGTGTGGGTGCTGGCGGGGCTGCTGCAGAGGGATTATGTCAAGTGGAGGGGGGCGCTGGTGCTGCGCGTGCTGCTGTGCATTGTGGATGAGTCTCAAGCGATAAGAGAGGTGGCTCTTTATCTCTTCACACACGTCGTTCCTCGTGAGTCAAAAAGAGGGTAAATGGGCTTGGGAGGGGTGGGAAGGGGTGGGGAGGGGTTGTGTGAGTGGAGTGTGGGTGCTGGCGGGGCTGCTGCAGAGGGATTATGTCAAGTGGAGGGGGGCGCTGGTGCTGCGCGTGCTGCTGTGCATTGTGGATGAGTCTCAAGCGATAAGAGAGGTGGCTCTTTATCTCTTCACACACGTCGTTCCTCGTGAGTCAAAAAGAGGGTAAATGGGCTTGGGAGGGGTGGGAAGGGGTGGGGAGGGGTTGTGTGAGTGGAGTGTGGGTGCTGGCGGGGCTGCTGCAGAGGGATTATGTCAAGTGGAGGGGGGCGCTGGTGCTGCGCGTGCTGCTGTGCATTGTGGATGAGTCTCAAGCGATAAGAGAGGTGGCTCTTTATCTCTTCACACACGTCGTTCCTCGTGAGTCAAAAAGAGGGTAAATGGGCTTGGGAGGGGTGGGAAGGGGTGGGGAGGGGTTGTGTGAGTGGAGTGTGGGTGCTGGCGGGGCTGCTGCAGAGGGATTATGTCAAGTGGAGGGGGGCGCTGGTGCTGCGCGTGCTGCTGTGCATTGTGGATGAGTCTCAAGCGATAAGAGAGGTGGCTCTTTATCTCTTCACACATTTCTTTCCTCGTAAGTGAAAAGGAGGGGAATGGGGCTGGGGAGGGGTGGGAGGGGTTCTGTGTTGCTGCAGTGGTGCACATGCTACTTTCTTAATAGTGGACGGAGTCTCAGTCGCATGTTGCCCAAATCAGTCACGGTAATGATTTGCGAGTCACCTGCACCCCTCTACCACCCTTACTACAACTTCTTCATAAAGAGCGCTCTCTTCACCTCAACGCATGCTTCCGATGCCCCATTACACCTACACTCGCAACTTAGTTCACCCCTCTCCACCCCTCTCCACCCCTTTCCACCTCTCTCCACCCCTCCACAGGTCGTGTGCCCCTCGTGCCATACAACATCTTCATCGAAGCCCTCTTTGCACTCAACGCCTGCCCCTTCGCCCCCTCCTCCACCACCACTGCTCCGTCACATCCCTATTCACCCTCTTTCCACCTCTCTCCACCCCTTTCTACCCCTCTCCACCCCTCCACAGGCCGTGTGCCCCTCGTGCCATACAACATATTCATCGAAGCCCTCTTTGCACTCAACGCCTGCCCCTTCGCCCCCTCTTCCACCACCACCGCTCCGCCTCTTCCCTCCTCCGGCCCTCGCCCTTCCTCTTCCAGCCCTCCCAACCCTGGCTCAGCCAATCCTGGCTCGACCAACCCTAGCTCGTCCAACCCTGGCTCGTCCAAAGCCGCCCCCTGCGACCCATCCCAACCCAACTGTCCCAATTCAAGTTCTCCTGTCGAAGGCATCCATGGGGGATTCGGGTGGCCAGGGAAGAGAGGGGGGCAGAGTGGGAGAGGCACAGGGGTAGGGAGGGAGGGCTTGGACGAAGAGCTAGAGCGCTTCTCATTGAGGTGAGTTCTGAGACGTCTCAAAACCCGGCGAGGGCATTTGTGAGGACGAGGGGACACCTGGGAAGAGAAGGGGGCGGAGTGCAAGGGGTGCAGGGGCAGAGAGGGAGGGCTTGGACGAGGAGTTAGAGCGCTTCTCATTGAGGTAAGTAGGAGGGCTTGTGCTTGCCCCGCTTTGGCCCTTCCTGTTTTCTCTGTTGGTGTTTTTGCAGCACCTGCGTGTGCCATGCTTAATCACTGATCCCACTCTGTTTTTTCCACAAAAATCTTCAGCAGTATCACTCTCTCCCGTCTCCCCTCCATTTCCCTATCCTCCCCTATATTCTGTTCACCTTCTCTCATTTCCAGCCTACAACCCTCTCCCCATGCAGCAAGAACCACGGTGCACCACGTTCCCTTCATCTCATAACCTCCTCTCTCCACTGCCTCCCCTCGTCTCCCCTCCGTCCTCTTCCCCACCAGCGGCCCATCTCGCCACGTGGCACGAACCACTGTGTACCGCACTCTACTCCGCCTCATGGCTCGAGAGCACCATCTTGCTCTCTCTGCCAAGCTCTGCCTGCAGGTAAGGCCTTTCCCCACATGGCCCATGCAACCTTGTTCTGGCTGAGTCAGCTCACATCTCCAGCGATTTTTGAGTCGACTCAAAAATCGACTCACTACACGCGGATTATATGTGGAGAGGTTTTTTGTTGCATGTTCTGGCTGAGTCAGCTCACATCTCCAGCAGGGATACGGTCAAGGTGAGCTTGATACATGTGAAGTGGGCAAGAGAAGGTGAGTCAACACATGGCACGTGGGGAAGGTGAGTCAACTCATGGCACGTGGGGAAGGTGAGTCAACTCATGGCACGTGGGGAAGGTGAGTCAACTCATGGCACATGGGGAAGGTGAGTCAACTCATGGCACATGGGGAAGGTGAGTCAACTCATGGCACGTGGGGAAGGTGAGTCAACTCATGGCACATGGGGAAGGTGAGTCAACTCATGGCACATAGGGAAGGTGAGTCAACACATGGCACATGGGGTTGAACTCCTAACCATTTCGTCACCTCTGCCATGGGCTCAGCTCTGCTTCTATTTCTGGCCGAGTCGGCTCCCTTATTGGCACTGCTGCCACCAGGCTCAGCCCTGCCCCTTATTCTAGCCAAGTCGGCTCTGCTGCCTGGAGGGGATAAAGCCAAGGTGAGCTTGAGGCACGTCTAAACCCTATCTAGTCACTTGGTCCGCACGCTCGCCCGACTTAGACCGCGCGCGCGCGCGACTTGGTCCGTGCGCGCGCGCGCCTTGATCCGCGCGCGCGCGCCTTGATCCGCGCGCGCGCGCCTTGGTCCGCGCGCGCGCGTGACTTGGTCCACTCGCGCGCACGACTTGGTCCGCGCACGCGCGCGTCTTGGTCCGCGCGCGCGCGCCTTGGTCCGCGCGCGCGCGTGACTTGGTCCACGCGCGCGCGCGACTTGGTCCGCGCACGCGCGCGTCTTGGTCCGCGCGCGCGCCATGGTCCGCGCGCGTGCCCGACATGGTCCGCGTGCGCGCGACTTGGTCCGCGCGCACGTGCGTCTTGGTCCGCCGCGCGCCTTGGTCCGCGCTCGCGCCTTGGTCCACACGCGCGCCCGACATGGTCCGCGCGTGCGCGCGCGCCTTGGTCCACGCACGCGCCACGGTCCGCGCGCGCGCCTTGTTCCACGCACACGCCTTGGTCCGCACGGACCATGGCCCTGACCTGATTGGCACTGCTGCCACAGGCTGAGCTCTGCCCCCTATTCTGGCGGAGTCGGCTCTACTGCCCGGAGGGGATAAGGCCAAGGTGAGCTTGAGGCACGTCTAAACCCTATCTAGTCATATGGGCATGGTGACCTGATTGCATGGCACGTGGGAAAGGTGGCTTGGAGGGAGGTTTAACCCCTAACCTATTCGGCACCTCTGCCACGGGCTTGGCTCTGCCCCTCATTCTGACTGTGTCGGCTCTTTTTTCCGGTGGGGATAAGGCCAAGGTGAGTTTAAGGCGGGGTGAGTTGGACACATGGCACATGGGCATAGTGAGTTGAGCACATGTTGCACTCAGCTCTGCCCCTTGCTCTGGCTGAGTCGGCTCTGCCACAGTGAGGTGGCACATGTCATGAGGGCATGATGAGTTGGTGGGGTGGGTCCACATGTTCCCACCCATGTGACATGGTACACATGTTCCCACCCATGTGACATGGCCCACATGTTCCCACCCATGTGACATGGCCCACATGTTCCCACCCATGTGACATGGCCCACATGTCCTTACATTGAACTAGGTTGTAAAAATGCTCTCATGGCTCGAGAGCACCATCTCGCCCTCTCTGCCAAGCTCTGTCTTCAGGTAACGCCTTTCCCCATCAGCTGATCCCCTTTCCTACCAGCTGATGCCTCCTCAATGCCTCTTTTCATTGAAATAGGTAGTGTAAACCCTCATGGCTCGAGAGCACCATCTCGCTCTCTCTCCCAAGCTCTGCCTTCAGGTAAGCCAGTCAAGGCTGTTGCTCGCACTGCTGTACTTGAAAGTCTGCTGCAGCCTCTTACTCTCGTCACACCACCTCTTCCTACTTGCGCCTGCTGTCGGCCCAACTAGACCGATTCCTTCCTCTCTCCAGACACTACACACTACCTCCTGGTGTCAATAATACCATCCCAATGACGTTATCCACATTCCCCATTTTCCTACTTACTCGTGCTTGCACCCGTACTGGATGGCGCTTTGCCTCTCTCCTGCCCCTCTGTGCAAGCTGTGGTGGGGGATGCCCTCCACATTCCGTTCTAAATCGTGTTGCATGTTGCTATCCCCACACCACCGTATCCTGCTTGTCAATGTCTACCCTACCTCTACAGGTGCTCGCGCCCTTACTAGACGGCGCCCTGCCGCTCTCCTGCCCTTCTGTGCAAGCCGTGGTGGGGGACGCCCTAGACGTGCTCTCATGCAAGGAGATGCGCCCAGGGACAGGCAAGGCAGCAGGTGCGGAGGAGGATGGGGAGGAGGAGGCAGGAGGAAGCGCAGGCGGGGTTGCAGGGGGAGGAGGTGGCGGAGGTGGCGGGAGAGCAGCAGCAGGAGCAGGAGCAGGAGCAGGAGGAGGCGGAGGAGGAGGAGCGGGGGCGTTGGCGAATGCTTTGAAGGGGCGGGTGGTTACTCAGCTGATGAAGAAAAACCTAGTTGAGAACACCATTCCTGTTCTGATCGAGCTGAAGAGGCTGCTGGAGGCACAGAACAGCCCGCTGCAGGGGGCACTGATGGCGTGCCTGCGGTGCCTGTTCAAGGAGTATAAAGAGGAGATAGAGGACTTGCTGGCGGCGGATCCGCAGCTGGGGAAAGAGCTTGTTTATGATATTCAGAAGCATGAGGCTGCAAGGGCCAGAGCTGCTGCTGCTAACAGGGCTGCTGGTAGTGATTCTGCTGGTGGTGTTGGTGGCGGTGTTGCTGCTGGTGGTGTTGGTGGTGGTGGTGGTAGTGGAGGTGAAGGTAAAGCTGCTGCCGCTGCTGCTGCTGCGTCAACACCTGCTGCTGTGGCTGCTTGTGCTGCTGAAGCTGCTGATGCTGTAGGGGTGGTGAGAGATGAGGGTGAAGGAGAGGAAGGGAGTGGAGGAGCTGAGGCAGGGGCGAGGAGGAGGAGAAAGTCAGCCGAGTTTCAAACTCCAACCAAGGACAAAAATTCAGCAGGTGGCAGTGATGATGCTGCTGCTGTTGGCACTCCTGCTGCTGCTGCTGTGGCTGCTGCTATGCCATCTTCTGGGAATGCTGCTACAGCTTCTGCCTCTGCTGGGGCTGCTGCTGCTGCTGCTGCTCACTCCACCGGGCTATCTGCTAGCACGTTGTGCAGCCCACTCTTTGTCACTCCCAATCCTCCCAGCCGGACCAGATCTCGAAGCAGAAGCAGGCTCGGAGACGAGATGTTTGGCAGGAGCGGGTTGGCAGGTACAGAGGAGGAAGGGGAAGGGCGGGGAGAGGAAGAGGAAGGAGAGGAGCAGCGAGAGGAGGAGCGAGCACGAGCAGCAGTGCAGGCAGCAGTGACTGCAGCAGCTATTATTAGGGATGTGGAAGGGCATGGGAACAAGACGCCTATCCTGAGAACTGTTAGTGTGCCGAAAGTGAGAGAGAGGAGGGGAGTGGGGCGTGGCAGGGTGGCACAGGAGGAAGATGGGGATGGAGTGGGGAAGGGGAGGGTTAGTGGTGAGGGGAGTATGGGATTTCAGGAGAGGTTGACGAGGGAAGGGGGAGAGGTTGGCGGAAGGGGTTGTGAGTGTGAGGTGGAGAGGAGGACGAGAGAAAGAGAGGAGGGAGAGAGTGAGGAGGCAGGCATGATTGGGAAAGAGGATGGAGGGGGAAGAAATGGCCGGAGTAAGAAGAAGGGAGTTGTTATGAAGGAGAATGATCAGTGTGCAGCATTGGAGAAAGGAAGCATTCTAAAGGGTAGGAAGGGAGAAGAAGCAGCAGATGGTAGTCGGCAGGAAATGGAAGGTAGTTGGAAAGGAGGATGTGAGACCGAATCCGCAGCCAGAGAAGGCAGGGGGAAGGGGTACAGAGGGGTGGTGCAAGGTGATGAGGGGCAGGGGAAGGGGGTGCGAAGGAGCATGGGGGAGGATCTGCCACCACGACGAGCCACCCGGCAGTCAGCAAGAGTCAAGCGATAGAGTGGTGTTGTTTCAGTTGTTTAGTGCTCAAGAGGGGAGGGGCAGGGGAAGGGAGTGGGAAGGAGGATGGGGAGGATGTGCTACGAAGGTGGACCACTCAGCAATCAGCAAGAGTCAAGAGATAGAGTGACTTCCTGGAGTGGTGGGGCGCCGAATCAGTTTCTGTAGTGTATTGTAGTGTATACTGTTCATGTTTAAATCACTGTACAACTCGTTTCTGCCAGGAATTGAGGCACGTTGCTACTACCTGGATGTTTTATACATGTGGCCATCTCCCTTCTGTTCCGAACCATCTTGTTTCTGGCCAAATGATAATAAAAAATACGGTACGTGACACTTGTAAGTACAAGCTTTCATGCAAGAAACAAATGAACTCAAGACTTGAATTTACTGCTGCATCTGGTACTCAGCTCCTTGGAACAGAAAATGCACTTCAGCTGTTTCCTCCCCCGCTGCTACTTTTGCCGTGTGGTGGCTATTTTTTTTAGCTCCATCCACCTGCTCGCCTTTTGAGGGGCCTTAAAATTGTAACAGCCTTCTTTGGCTGGTAGATGGTAGCTACTTTTGTCGTGTGGTGGCCTTTTTAATCAGCTCCATCCACCTGCTCGCTGTGTCAGCAGCAGCTTCTTTCAAGCTCCCCACCTTGCTGCTGCTGCTCCCACCTTCATCCTTGCCTTCTCCCGTGCTCCCTTGCTTTCTTCTCTTCTTTCTCGGTCCGTCTGTCTCTGCTGCTTTGCTTTCACCAGCATCTGCTCTTGCTGCCCTCTTGCCCTCCTCAGGTGCGTCCTGCTTCCTCTTGCTCTTCTTCCCCGTCTTTGCTTCCACATCTGCTTGCCCCTCCTTCCCATTCTTGCTCTTCTTTCCCTCGTTCCCCTTCTTTTCCTCCCCCTCCGTCACCTCCTGCTTTCCTACCTTCTCGTTATTCCCCTTCTCCTTCCTCCCCGCTTTGTCATCCTCGTCTCTTCCTCCTCCTGATGCTGCTGCAGCAGCAGCTGCCACCGATAGAGCCACAGCAGATTCTGCCACTGCTGCCGACACATGTCCGTTCCCTTGCTGCCACGGGTCCGGCATGGCATCAAGTTCCTGGAAGATTCTCAGCGACACAAACGCGTCTGTTGACGCGTAGATCAGCTGGGCGTCAGTAAGGGGAAAGCCCTCCCAGTTGCTGCACTGAACTCGTTTTGGCTTGGCGAGCTGCATTTGTGGTGGAGGATGGGGTTGGGGGTTGGAGGGTGGGGTGGGGGGGAACAACAAGGGAGAGTTGAAGTGCAGATGTTGACCGCGTAGATCAGCTGGGCGTCTGTGAGAGGAAAGCCCTCCCAGTTGCTGCACTGAACTCGTTTTGGCTTGGCGAGCTGCATTTGTGGTGGAGGATGGGGTTGGGGGTCGGAGGGTGGGGTGGGGGGGAACAACAAGGGAGAGTTGAAGTGCAGATGTTGACGCGTAGATCAACTGGGCGTCTGTGAGAGGAAAGCCCTCCCAGTTGCTGCACTGAACTCGTTTTGGCTTGGCGAGCTGCATTTGTGGTGGAGGATGGGGTTGGGGGTCGGAGGGTGGGGTGGGGGGTAACAACAAGGGAGAGTTGAAGTGCAGATGTTGACACGTAGATCAGCTGGGCGTCTGTGAGAGGAAAGCCCTCCCAGTTGCTGCACTGCACTCGTTTTGGCTTTGCTAGCTGCATTTACTGTGGAGGATGGGGATGGGAGGGTGGGGGAGCAGGAAGGGGGAGATGAGATGCAGATTTTCATGGGCAGATCAGCTGGGCGTCTGTGAGAGGAAAGCCCTCCCAGTTGCTGCACTGCACTCGTTTTGGCTTTGCTAGCTGCATTTACTGTGGAGGATGGGGATGGGAGGGTGGGGGAGCAGGAAGGGGGAGATGAGATGCAGATTTTCATGGGCAGATCAGCTGGGCGTCTGTGAGAGGAAAGCCCTCCCAGTTGCTGCACTGGACTCTTTTCAGCTTGGCGAGCTGCATTTGCAGTGGAGGATGGGGTTGGGGTGGGGGTGGAGGTGGGAGGTTGGGGGGAACAGGAAGGGAGAGATGAAATGCAGATGCTGACAAGTAGATCAGCTGGGCGTCAGTCAGAGGGAAGCCCTCCCAGTTGCTGCACTGTACTCGTTTTGGCTTGGCGAGCTGCATTTTGGGAGTGGCTGCAGTCAGTGAGAAGAAACATATGCACTCGTGCTTGTGAGAATTCTCTAAGAAACCACATTCCTCCCTTCTTGTGAGAATTCTCAAAGAAACCACATTCCTCCCTTCTTGTGAGAATTCTCAAAGAAACCACATTCCTCCCTTCTTGTGAGAATTCTCAAAGAAACCACATTCCTCCCTTCTTGTGAGAATTCTCAAAGAAACCACATTCCTCCCTTCTTGTGAGAATTCTCAAAGAAACCACATTCCTCCCTTCTTGTGAGAATTCTCAAAGAAACCACATTCCTCCCTTCTTGTGAGAATTCTCAAAGAAACCACATTCCTCCCTTCTTGTGAGAATTCTCAAAGAAACCACATTCCTCCCTTCTTGTGAGAATTCTCAAAGAAACCACATTCCTCCCTTCTTGTGAGAATTCTCAAAGAAACCACATTCCTCCCTTCTTGTGAGAATTCTCAAAGAAACCACATTCCTCCCTTCTTGTGAGAATTCTCAAAGAAACCACGTTCCTCCCTTCTTGTGAGAATTCTCAAAGAAACCACATTCCTCCCTTCTTGTGAGAATTCTCAAAGAAACCACATTCCTCCCTTCTTGTGAGAATTCTCAAAGAAACCACATTCCTCCCTTCTTGTGAGAATTCTCAAAGAAACCACATTCCTCCCTTCTTGTGAGAATTCTCAAAGAAACCACATTCCTCCCTTCTTGTGAGAATTCTCAAAGAAACCACATTCCTCCCTTCTTGTGAGAATTCTCAAAGAAACCACATTCCTCCCTTCTTGTGAGAACTCTCAAAGAAACCACATTCCTCCCTTCTTGTGAGAATTCTCAAAGAAACCACATTCCTCCCTTCTTGTGAGAATTCTCAAAGAAACCACATTCCTCCCTTCTTGTGAGAATTCTCAAAGAAACCACATTCCTCCCTTCTTGTGAGAATTCTCAAAGAAACCACATTCCTCCCTTCTTGTGAGAATTCTCAAAGAAACCACATTCCTCCCTTCTTGTGAGAATTCTCAAAGAAACCACATTCCTCCCTTCTTGTGAGAATTCTCAAAGAAACCACATTCCTCCCTTCTTGTGAGAACTCTCAAAGAAACCACATTCCTCCCTTCTTGTGAGAATTCTCAAAGAAACCACATTCCTCCCTTCTTGTGAGAATTCTCAAAGAAACCACGTTCCTCCCTTCTTGTGAGAATTCTCAAAGAAACCACATTCCTCCCTTCTTGTGAGAATTCTCAAAGAAACCACGTTCCTCCCTTCTTGTGAGAATTCTCAAAGAAACCACATTCCTCCCTTCTTGTGAGAATTCTCAAAGAAACCACATTCCTCCCTTCTTGTGAGAATTCTCAAAGAAACCACATTCCTCCCTTCTTGTGAGAATTCTCAAAGAAACCACATTCCTCCCTTCTTGTGAGAATTCTCAAAGAAACCACATTCCTCCCTTCTTGTGAGAATTCTCAAAGAAACCACATTCCTCCCTTCTTGTGAGAATTCTCAAAGAAACCACATTCCTCCCTTCTTGTGAGAATTCTCAAAGAAACCACATTCCTCCCTTCTTGTGAGAATTCTCAAAGAAACCACGTTCCTCCCTTCTTGTGAGAATTCTCAAAGAAACCACATTCCTCCCTTCTTGTGAGAATTCTCAAAGAAACCACATTCCTCCCTTCTTGTGAGAATTCTCAAAGAAACCACATTCCTCCCTTCTTGTGAGAATTCTCAAAGAAACCACATTCCTCCCTTCTTGTGAGAATTCTCAAAGAAACCACATTCCTCCCTTCTTGTGAGAATTCTCAAAGAAACCACATTCCTCCCTTCTTGTGAGAATTCTCAAAGAAACCACATTCCTCCCTTCTTGTGAGAACTCTCAAAGAAACCACATTCCTCCCTTCTTGTGAGAATTCTCAAAGAAACCACATTCCTCCCTTCTTGTGAGAATTCTCAAAGAAACCACATTCCTCCCTTCTTGTGAGAATTCTCAAAGAAACCACATTCCTCCCTTCTTGTGAGAATTCTCAAAGAAACCACATTCCTCCCTTGTGAGAATTCTCAAAGAAACCACATTCCTCCCTTCTTGTGAGAATTCTCAAAGAAACCACATTCCTCCCTTCTTGTGAGAATTCTCAAAGAAACCACATTCCTCCCTTCTTGTGAGAACTCTCAAAGAAACCACATTCCTCCCTTCTTGTGAGAATTCTCAAAGAAACCACATTCCTCCCTTCTTGTGAGAATTCTCAAAGAAACCACGTTCCTCCCTTCTTGTGAGAATTCTCAAAGAAACCACATTCCTCCCTTCTTGTGAGAATTCTCAAAGAAACCACGTTCCTCCCTTCTTGTGAGAATTCTCAAAGAAACCACATTCCTCCCTTCTTGTGAGAATTCTCAAAGAAACCACATTCCTCCCTTCTTGTGAGAATTCTCAAAGAAACCACATTCCTCCCTTCTTGTGAGAATTCTCAAAGAAACCACATTCCTCCCTTCTTGTGAGAATTCTCAAAGAAACCACATTCCTCCCTTCTTGTGAGAATTCTCAAAGAAACCACATTCCTCCCTTCTTGTGAGAATTCTCAAAGAAACCACATTCCTCCCTTCTTGTGAGAACTCTCAAAGAAACCACATTCCTCCCTTCTTGTGAGAATTCTCAAAGAAACCACATTCCTCCCTTCTTGTGAGAATTCTCAAAGAAACCACATTCCTCCCTTCTTGTGAGAATTCTCAAAGAAACCACATTCCTCCCTTCTTGTGAGAATTCTCAAAGAAACCACATTCCTCCCTTCTTGTGAGAATTCTCAAAGAAACCACATTCCTCCCTTCTTGTGAGAATTCTCAAAGAAACCACATTCCTCCCTTCTTGTGAGAACTCTCAAAGAAACCACATTCCTCCCTTCTTGTGAGAATTCTCAAAGAAACCACATTCCTCCCTTCTTGTGAGAATTCTCAAAGAAACCACGTTCCTCCCTTCTTGTGAGAATTCTCAAAGAAACCACATTCCTCCCTTCTTGTGAGAATTCTCAAAGAAACCACGTTCCTCCCTTCTTGTGAGAATTCTCAAAGAAACCACATTCCTCCCTTCTTGTGAGAATTCTCAAAGAAACCACATTCCTCCCTTCTTGTGAGAATTCTCAAAGAAACCACATTCCTCCCTTCTTGTGAGAATTCTCAAAGAAACCACATTCCTCCCTTCTTGTGAGAATTCTCAAAGAAACCACATTCCTCCCTTCTTGTGAGAATTCTCAAAGAAACCACATTCCTCCCTTCTTGTGAGAATTCTCAAAGAAACCACATTCCTCCCTTCTTGTGAGAATTCTCAAAGAAACCACATTCCTCCCTTCTTGTGAGAATTCTCAAAGAAACCACGTTCCTCCCTTCTTGTGAGAATTCTCAAAGAAACCACATTCCTCCCTTCTTGTGAGAATTCTCAAAGAAACCACATTCCTCCCTTCTTGTGAGAATTCTCAAAGAAACCACATTCCTCCCTTCTTGTGAGAATTCTCAAAGAAACCACATTCCTCCCTTCTTGTGAGAATTCTCAAAGAAACCACATTCCTCCCTTCTTGTGAGAATTCTCAAAGAAACCACATTCCTCCCTTCTTGTGAGAATTCTCAAAGAAACCACATTCCTCCCTTCTTGTGAGAACTCTCAAAGAAACCACATTCCTCCCTTCTTGTGAGAATTCTCAAAGAAACCACATTCCTCCCTTCTTGTGAGAATTCTCAAAGAAACCACATTCCTCCCTTCTTGTGAGAATTCTCAAAGAAACCACATTCCTCCCTTCTTGTGAGAATTCTCAAAGAAACCACATTCCTCCCTTCTTGTGAGAATTCTCAAAGAAACCACATTCCTCCCTTCTTGTGAGAATTCTCAAAGAAACCACATTCCTCCCTTCTTGTGAGAATTCTCAAAGAAACCACATTCCTCCCTTCTTGTGAGAACTCTCAAAGAAACCACATTCCTCCCTTCTTGTGAGAATTCTCAAAGAAACCACATTCCTCCCTTCTTGTGAGAATTCTCAAAGAAACCACGTTCCTCCCTTCTTGTGAGAATTCTCAAAGAAACCACATTCCTCCCTTCTTGTGAGAATTCTCAAAGAAACCACGTTCCTCCCTTCTTGTGAGAATTCTCAAAGAAACCACATTCCTCCCTTCTTGTGAGAATTCTCAAAGAAACCACATTCCTCCCTTCTTGTGAGAATTCTCAAAGAAACCACATTCCTCCCTTCTTGTGAGAATTCTCAAAGAAACCACATTCCTCCCTTCTTGTGAGAATTCTCAAAGAAACCACATTCCTCCCTTCTTGTGAGAATTCTCAAAGAAACCACATTCCTCCCTTCTTGTGAGAATTCTCAAAGAAACCACATTCCTCCCTTCTTGTGAGAACTCTCAAAGAAACCACATTCCTCCCTTCTTGTGAGAATTCTCAAAGAAACCACATTCCTCCCTTCTTGTGAGAATTCTCAAAGAAACCACATTCCTCCCTTCTTGTGAGAATTCTCAAAGAAACCACATTCCTCCCTTCTTGTGAGAATTCTCAAAGAAACCACATTCCTCCCTTCTTGTGAGAATTCTCAAAGAAACCACATTCCTCCCTTCTTGTGAGAATTCTCAAAGAAACCACATTCCTCCCTTCTTGTGAGAATTCTCAAAGAAACCACATTCCTCCCTTCTTGTGAGAATTCTCAAAGAAACCACATTCCTCCCTTCTTGTGAGAATTCTCAAAGAAACCACGTTCCTCCCTTCTTGTGAGAATTCTCAAAGAAACCACATTCCTCCCTTCTTGTGAGAATTCTCAAAGAAACCACGTTCCTCCCTTCTTGTGAGAATTCTCAAAGAAACCACATTCCTCCCTTCTTGTGAGAATTCTCAAAGAAACCACATTCCTCCCTTCTTGTGAGAATTCTCAAAGAAACCACATTCCTCCCTTCTTGTGAGAATTCTCAAAGAAACCACATTCCTCCCTTCTTGTGAGAATTCTCAAAGAAACCACATTCCTCCCTTCTTGTGAGAATTCTCAAAGAAACCACATTCCTCCCTTCTTGTGAGAATTCTCAAAGAAACCACGTTCCTCCCTTCTTGTGAGAATTCTCAAAGAAACCACATTCCTCCCTTCTTGTGAGAATTCTCAAAGAAACCACGTTCCTCCCTTCTTGTGAGAATTCTCAAAGAAACCACATTCCTCCCTTCTTGTGAGAATTCTCAAAGAAACCACATTCCTCCCTTCCTGTGAGAATTCTCAAAGAAACCACATTCCTCCCTTCTTGTGAGAATTCTCAAAGGAACCACATTCACATGAGCATGTGGAAGAACAAGGGTCGTCCCACCCAGCAACACAGCAGCTCACCTCTTTCTGCAGCACACGAGGCAGGTGAGTGTCTTCAAACCCACCATCTGCCGAGGCAGCCTCTGAGCACACTCACAAGCACATTCCCAACCTAAAAGCCGCCTGCAAGTCTCACCTCCTTCTGCAGCACGAATCGGGTGAGCGTCTTGAGTCCCACCATCGGTCCTCCCTCAGTCACCACAGCGTGCAGTGTGTATTCTGCACTCAGAGGACGCATAAAAACCGCTGTATGAAATGAAGCTCACCTCTTTCTGCAGCACCAGGCGGGTGAGAGTCTTGAGTCCCACCATCTGCCCTCCATCCGGCACCACAGCCTTCTCCTGGGCGAGTGGTGAGCAATCCACCAGCCCATTCACCTGCGCAGACACACACGCAGCGGGAAGGTACACACACAAGAGGCGGGTGAGCAAAGTGTCTTGAGGCCCACCATCTGCCCTCCATCCGGCACCACTGCCTTCTCCTGGGCGAGTGGTGAGCAATCCACCAGCCCATTCACCTGCGCAGACACACACAGCAAACATACGCCGGCACACATATGTGCAGACGCACAAGAGTTGGGCAAGCATGAGTGTCTTGCGAGTCTCACCATCTGCCTGCCCTCTATCTGGAATGGAACCACTGCCTTCTCCTGTGCTAGTGGCAAACAGTCCACCTGCCCATTTACGTGCCCATTCACATGCCGTGCCCATTCACGTGCCTCACGTGCCCATCCACACAACTCCCCACCTCTACTGACCTCGACACCAAAGTCTTTTCTCAGCTTGCGGCCGTCCTCTGTCACACCTACACCTGTCTGCAGGGGCAGAGACCGAAGGAGAGGCACGAGAGGAGAGGCACGAGAGGAGAGGAAAGAGAGGAGAGGAATGAGGAGAGAAGAGGGAAGGAAAGGGCAGGGACGAAAGGGGAGGTACGAGGGGAGGTATGAGTGGAGAGATGAGCGGAGGGATGGACGAAGGAAGGGCAGAGACGAGAATGGAGAGTGGTCTTTGAAACTCGCACTCTCACACGCTGGCATCCTTGAGCGATACGCGGAGAAGAGGGAAGGGGGAATGCACGTAGGGATAAAAAAAGAAATGCACATAGGGATGAGAAACAGCAGTGCAACACACTGACCTTGACCACGCTGGCATCCTTGAGAAATGCGCGGAGAGTCTCGGGAACGCCGGTGAACGTGTCGTGTGCCATGGAAACGAGGTGACTTTTGAGTCGACTCAAAAGTCACCTCGGTGAACGTGAGATGGAAGAGATAGCAGACGCGCACACACTCGCGCGCTCATACCCTTTGTTTGCTCCCACACGCACACTGCCTCACCTTGACCACACTAGCATCCTTGAGCAATGCTCTAAGAATCTCAGGGACGCCGGTGAACATGTTTTGAGACGTCTCAAAACAATCTCAGGGACGCCGGTGAACATGTTTTGAGACGTCTCAAAACAATCTCAGGGACGCCGGTGAACATGTTTTGAGACGTCTCAAAACAATCTCAGGGACGCCGGTGAACATGTTTTGAGACGTCTCAAAACAATCTCAGGGACGCCGGTGAACATGTGATGAAAGAGGTAGCGGATGCACACACTCATGCATGCACTCACGCACTTATATCCCTCTGTATAATCACCACCACCTCATACAGGAAGTGCGCGCACCCATGCCCTGCACTCTCACCTTCACCACGCTAGCATCCTTGAGCAACGCACGAAGAGTCTCAGGGACACTGCTGAACTTGAGATGGAAGAGATAACAGACATCCGCGTTGGCAGAGAGTGAAGCAGACACATGTGCCCACAACACACTCACCTTGACGACGCTAGCATCCTTGAGCAACGCGCGGAGAAGAGGGAAGGGGGAATGCACATAGGCATGAGAAAAGGCAATGCATGCAACACACTGACCTTGACGACGCTAGCATCCTTGAGCAACGCGCGGAGAAGAGGGAAGGGGGAATGCACATAGGCATGAGAAAAGGCAATGCATGCAGCACACTGACCTTGACGACGCTAGCATCCTTGAGCAACGCGCGGAGAAGAGGGAAGGGGGAATGCACATAGGCATGAGAAAAGGCAATGCATGCAGCACACTGACCTTGACGACGCTAGCATCCTTGAGCAACGCCCTAAGAGTCTCGGGAACACCGGTGAACTTGAGATGAAAGAGATAGCAGACGTCCGCGTTGGCACAGAGTTGCAGCAGCGCACAGGGATTCTCCGGGCCTGGTGATAGTTGTGGGGGAGAGGCGGGAAGATAGTGGGGGATGAGAAGGGGGGGCGAGGGAGGGGAGTCTCAGGAGTGCCGGTGAACTTGAGATGAAAGAGATAGTAGCAGGCGTCCGCGTTGGCACAGAGTTGCAGCAGCGCACAGGGATTCTCAGGGCCTGGTGTGGGAGTGGGCGAGGGAGAGAGACGGGGTGGGAAGGGGGGAGGAGATAGTGGGGAATGAGAAACAGGGCGAGGGAGAAGGGGGTTCGAGAGAGAGGGGGGGAGGCTCAGGAACACCGGTGAGCTTGAGATGGAAGAGGTAGCAGACATCGGCGTTGGCACAGAGCTGTAGTAGTGCACAGGGATTGTCAGGGCCTGGTGGTGAGATGGAGGGGGAGAGGAGGGGGGAGGGGGGAGAGAATGGGAGGTGAGACAGAAAGAACCATTCAAGATAGGACCATTCGAGAAGGGGGAGAAGGGAGGCAGACGAAAAGGTCGTGTACACATCATCCCCCCAACTCACCTTCCCCCCAACTCATCCCAGTTTTGAGACGTCTCAAATCGAGACGTCTCAAAACGAGACGTCTGAAAAGGTCGTGCACACATCATCCCCCAACTCATCCCACCACCTCACCTTCCCCCCACGTGGGTTTCCACTTGCAGTCCAGCCCCACCGCTGACCTGCTGCTGAGCAGAGAGGGAGAAGCACCCTTGGCCTAGCCCCCTCAAATCCTAACCACACCCTCACCACACCCTCACCACACCACCTCACCTTTCCCCCACGTGAATTTCCACTCGCAGTCCAGCCCCTCCGCTACTCTGCTGCTGCCGTTGGCGCCCTGAGCATTGAGGGAGGAGCACCCTTGGCCCAGGCCCCTCATCCCCTGCCCTCATCCTACTCCACCACACCACACCACCCTCACCCCTGCATTCACCCTACCCCACACCCCACCACGCTCACCTTTCCCCCACGTGGGTTTCCATTCGCAGTCCAGCCCCACCGCTACCTTGCCACTGCTGCTGGCCCCTGAAGGAGGAGAGGGAGGGGCAGAGGGGTGGGGTGATACAGAGCAATCAAGAAAAGGAAAAAGCGAGTCACGTCAAGGTTACAAGCCACTTGCAGTCCAGCCCCACTGCTACCCTGCCACTGCCGTTGGCCCCTGCAGGAGCAGAAGGAGGAGCAGAAGGAGGAGCAGAGGGAGGCGCAGCGGGAGGAGCAGCGGGAGGCGCAGTGGGAGGAGAGGAAGGGTGAAACATAGAGACCACGTGAGGGAGAACCACTTGGATCAACCGATCTTAGCCCAATCATCCCATTGCCGCCTAAAATTTTACTTTCTCCCATATAATTGCTCTTGATTCAAATCCACATAATTCTATACAAGTAACCCTCAACCTATCAGCACCAATCCCTACCACTCTTGACAGCCACATAAAGCTCCTTTGCTGCCGCCTCAACGCAGTTGCGCTCACAGCGGTACACCATACCTAGAGTTCGACAACACCCTAACCCCGACACCCTGAACCCGCCCGACACCCTAGTATGAAAAGCCTACCGCTCTTGACAGCTTCATGAAGCTGTTATGCTGCTGCCTCCACGCCGTTGCGCTCACAGCGATACACCACACCTACACTACAGTTCGACAACACCCTGAACCCGACACCCCAAACCAAACCCTGCAAGTCTTACCACTCTTGACAGCCGCGTACAGCTCCCTTGCTGCCGCTTCCACGCCGTTGCGCTCACAGCGATACACCACCTTCAAATCATATCTACAAGTGGACCCTGACTGACAGGTACCTACCAGCCCCAGTGCCTACCATTCTTGACAGCCGCGTAGAGCTCCCTCGCTGCCGCCTCCACCCCGTTGCGCTCGCAGCGGTACACCACCTTCCCTGGGAAGCGCGCGTAGACGTAATAACACAATACAACAAGCTCTATACCTGCAAGTCTTACCATTCTTGACAGCTGCATAGAGCTCCCTCGCTGCTGCTTCCACGCCGTTGCGCTCGCGGCGGTACACCACCTTCCCATCATATCTACAAGATATTTAGTTCTATACCAGCAACCCTATATCCTTACCGTTCTTCACAGCTGCGTAGAGCTCTTTCGCTGCTGCCTCCACGCCGTTGCGCTCACGGCGGTACACCACCTTCCCAGGGAAGCGCGCGTATATGTCTTGTGCGAGCACTGGTATGGAACGGAAGAGTGATGTTGCTGCAGGGAGAGGGGGAGGGGATGGTGGGGGGGCGCAGAGGAGAGGGGTATTAGAAACGCATTCTGTGCGCCACCTTCCCTGGGAAGCGCGCGTAGATGCCTTGCGCGAGCAATGGTATGGAACGGAAGAGTGATGTTGCTGCAAGGAGGAGAAGGAAAGGAAGGGTGGGGAAGTGGGGAGAGGGGGCGGGGAGGAGAGGGGGAGGAGAGGGGAAAGAGAGGGGGAGAGAGGGGTTAAGGGTGGGGGCGCAAGAGAGGAAACAGAAAGGGTACAAATCTAGTTTTGAGACGTCTCAAAAGTACAAATCTCGCGAATCCCAACCAAACCCACCGCACCTTGCACGTCACGGCGAAAGGAGAAGTCGCGAGCGAGGCCTGGGGCCGCCACCACCTGATCCGCGCCCTTCACCACCGTTGCCCCCGGCCCTTTTGCCTCCGCTCCGCACCCTTGCCCCTGGCCCCTTCACCACCCAACGCACCTTGCACGTCGCGGCGGAAAGAGAAGTCGCGAGCGAGGCCGTGGTTCGCAACCACCTGGTCCGCGCCCTTCACCACCGCTGCCCCCGGCCCCGCATTCCCCTTGCACCAACCAGCAACATAACCCACCCACCTAACGCACCCAACACTCGACAACACCTACCCAAATCGCCCAACGCACCTTGCACGTCGCGGCGGAAGGAGAAGTCGCGAGAGTGGCCGTGGTTCGCAACCATCTGGTCCGCGCCCTTCACCACCGCTGCCCCCGGCCCCTTCCCCTCCGCCCACGACGGTAATTTCCGCTTCTGTGAAATCGCTGCCGCCGCCGCTGCTGCCGCTGCCGCCACCGCTACTGATGGTGCATTAGCTGCGCCTTTGCCCTTACCGTTCACATTCTTCCCCGCTAAACCCCCGTCCTTGACCCCTGAACCTCCGCCGATCTTCCGCGTTACTAGCTCACTCATTAGAGATTTATGAGGGTCTTTGAGACTCACTTCCGGAAGTTTAAACGACCACCATACGCTCTGCTTCTCCCCCTCGTTAGTTTTCGCACCTGCTTCTCCCTCCTCTCCGCCCGCCTTGCCAGTCTGATCCTGACCCGCGCTATCGAGCTTTCTACGCTTGGCGGGAGGCGATGGCCCCCCTTCCGCCTCGGTTGTCCTCGTTAGCGTGCTCTTTTTCGTTATAAGCCTCGTCTTCGTTACAGTGATCGAACCGAGTGTCTTCTTGACGGCGTTGGCTGCTTTCCGGACGACGCTGGTCGTGCCGTTCCGTTTCTTCTCCGCCGCCGTACCGTTCGGCGTACGGTTCGGCGTACGGAGTGTCGTGTCATTTGGCGTACGGTTCTCGTACGGCCGCATCGCGTCAAGAATCGCGTTCCAATCCTCCTCATCCAATACGATCTTCTCTTTCACCGGCGATACCTCCGCGAGCGCTGCTAAACCACCCGCCATTGCCGTGAAGACTGGACCGTCAGATCAAGATACCAGACGGAAATGCGCGCAGCTCTGCCGTGGATGCAGAGCCACGAGAAAAGGTGGTTTTTGAAGGATCGAGGGGGAATGAAAGGTGGGGTTGGGGTTGCTGTGCTGGTGTATTTGAGGTGAGGGGAAAACCAAGTGGTTGAATGGCGAGCCGAGGACGAAGGGGACTTCGAAACAACGTAAGAAAGAAGCTTTCTGGAACACTACCGCATCACTTCAAAAGTAAGCTTAAAGTTGCAACATACCCGCTTAAAATCACAGCACCGGAGGTATACCTCTGCATTGCAAATCTTCAGTTTTTGGAAAACATTTAATTGGATCACAGCACAAACCCAAAAAAATTGGATCCAAGCTACTCCATTGCACCACCAGAGTACCATACAATATGGTACTATTACATGTGACTTTCTACGGAATTTTCCCTCAACTAACCTTGGAAAAATAGAGTACCTCAGCTATCTCTCAGCATTTATTCCCCTCCCAGCAGAATAAAACTAGGCCGCCCCAGCCAAAGTCACCACCAAAGCATAACTCCACACCCCACCACCACAATGTGCTGCTATCGAGACATGCTCTTATCGAGTAGCTTCAGCTTCTTGGCAATGTGCTGCTATCGAGACATGCTCTTATCGAGTTGCTTCAGCTTCTCTTCCACCGACACAGGTCCCTGCGCTCTTGATTGGGCCTTGCGATCTGCTGATGTCAGCAACAGACCTGGAATGCGGAATACGATGTTGTGGGGGGGCGGGAGGGGAGGGTAGAGGGGGAAAGAGTGGGGGGGAGGAGAAGGGAGGGGAAGAGAAAGAAAAGCTAAGGGAAGGGAGGAGGGTGGAGATGGGAGAGACTAATGAATCGTGCAAGGAGAGGCAGCTGCAGGGGAATCGGTGATGCATTGAGGGAGGGGAAGTGGTGGCGGCTGGAGGGAGGGGTTGGGAGAGAGAGGAGCAGGGGGGAAATTGGCGTGGGGAGGGAAGTGGGGAGGTAGGAAGGAACGTGGAAGGGAATAGCAGCTGAAAGGATGAAAGAATCGGAGAATCAGGGAGAAGACGGGAGCAGGGAGAATTGGGGGTGACGGGGAAAACGAAAAGCTCACGGGCGGGAATGCGGAGAGTGGCGGAGGAATGGACACGAGGAGCACGGAAGAGACTCAGAGGCGGAAGGAACGGAAAAGAGGCTCAGAGGCGCGAGAGGAACAGATGACAACGAGACTGGAGCGTGTTTGCGGGATGGTTCACGGTCTCGCTAGTAACGTACCCGCTATTGTGCCGACGCCGCACGCTATAAGTACAACATTTGATATCCTGTCGGATATCATGGCGGGAAAGGGACGGGGCGAAAGCGAGCGCGACGGATAGGAGTAACGGGAAAAGGCGTGGAGAGAAGGCGAAGAGACAAGGCGAGCCGAGATGCGAAGGTAGCAGCGCAGGCGGGACGGAGAAGCGAAGGTAGCAGTGCAGGCGGGACGGAGAAGCGAAGGTAGCAGCGCAGGCGGGACGGAGAAGCGAAGGTAGAAGTGCAGGCGGGACGGAGAAGTGGGCAAGAGAGTCGTCAAGCAACGCGGAAGTGGCAAGCGGCGCGTGATACTGGAGCGTGCGAGGATTGCAGAAGCACGTGCGAGGACATGTGCGAAAGACTGATGCTACACAATTATGAGACGGGAGTCCAAGATGAGAAGGTGATGGGCCAAGTGTGAATGTAGTCGTGTATACAAAATACATGTTCATATAAAATTGTAACGATCACTCCTTTATCGAGTACAAGCTGCTGGGGATTTTGTTTGCCACCTTCTGAAATGGAGGAAATGACGGAGCACCGTGTTTTCTAGTTTCCAATTCCAATGGGCAGTGGTTTTGACAGCACATCGCTCCGCGCTCGCGTCCAATACCTTGGGGCATGCTACGGGACCAAAAAAATGAAACCCTCATGGATGGTATGCCACGTAAAGGGCATCAAATCCTAAACACCGTGAGGCAAGGTGTTTAGGGTTGATGCCTCCCAAATGGTTTGTCATCCGAGTGGGTTTTTGGTTTTGCCTCTGGTCTCTATACTGAAACCAGGTAGACTTAGTATTTTCCCTTATGTACGTCTGGTCACGAAAAATGGGAAATTGCAATAAAAACTGCCTGCGGGAATTGGGCGCGAGCGCGAAGAGAGTCGCTGTCAAAGCCACTTTTGAGAGGAATCGAAAACGCGCAAACACGGCGGTCCGTCATTTCCTCTCTGAAATGTGATGCTGACAGAACATGGCAGCATTCCCAAGAGTAGGGATTTCATAGACTGGTGTCCTGAAATTCGCAGGTGTAAAGCTCACGCGATCCTAGTTCTCTGCGATCCGGTATAGGAGGGACCGAGCTGGGTTTGAACGATACTGCGATTCGTCACCACGCGCAAGCACTCAAACGGACGAGGCAATCGGACCGTCAGGCGACCAGGAATCAGAGACGATTATCTGAGTCTGTCGACCAAACGCTTATACGGCTAGGAAATTGAACGGATTCAACGATCAGGTGATTAGGCAATGCCTCTAATCGCTGCATCCCATCGCATTCCTCTCTCTCCTTCAGCCACCAGCCATAGATTCGCCGTAAATCCACACAATCTCGTAACAGGGAACCTTCGCTATAGTCCCTGTTCATTTAGTGCGTCGAGCAATCTGCTAGTCTCTGCGCCTCTGCGATTGTCGCCCGCGATATCGTCAGGAGTGTCGTCTGTTTCGCAGCGACGATTTGTCGCCATGGCAGAGGCGAGCGACGTCGCAGGGGTGTCGCAGGCGACGAGCGAGGGGAGTCGCATAAAGGTGCTCTTCGTCGAGATGGGCGTGGGATACGATCAGCACGGGTGCGTCTGCCGTATTCAATAGCATATATTCGCGTTACTAGTAGTTAAGAATGCACTTTCTACCGAGGTTTGCAGAACAAACGATCAATCATTATCGTGTCCAATGAAGTGGTGTTCTTTATCCTAGGCTGGTTCTGAGAAATCTCAAAACCAGCACTTCTCCATCCTTCACCCAAAACTTGTATCCGTCCAATCCTGGCTTGCCACGTAGCAGGCAGAATGTGACCAAGGCGGCGGTGAAGGCGTGTCGAAATGCCATCACGTCCAACTCCATCCCCGCCTTCCGCACAGGTAGAGGGCGTGATTTTGATTTCGCACAGCACGCCATGATTATGTCCTAACCCTGATAGTTTCCTTTCTTCCTCAGTCTTTCCTTATCCACCCACTCCCCAACCCCCCTCCCCCTCCCCCCTTTTAAATTGTGCGTTTCTTCCATGCCTCGCTGCTGTCCTTTCCTCCCCCAGGTGCCATCCCAGGTGTGTCGTGGCAGCAGATGAAGCTTCAGGTGCGCCTAGGCGTGCCTAGGGAGCTCCAGGCGGACCTGGATATTGACCAAGTCAAGGCCGTGTTCCCCTAGTAAGTCGCTTTCTCCTCCTTTTGAGTCAACTTAAAAGCTTCAGGTGTGCCTAGGCGTGCCGAGGGAGCTTCAGGCTGACCTAGATATTGACCAAGTCAAGGCTGTGTTCCCCTAGTAAGTCGCTTCCCCCTCCTTTTGAGTCGACTCAAAAGCTTCACGTGCGGCTAGGTGCTCCTAGGCGTGCCTAGGGAGCTCCAGGCTGACCTGGATATTGACCAAGTCAAGGCCGTGTTCCCCTAGTGAGTAGCCTCCTCCTCCTCCTCCTCCTCCTCCTCCTCCTCCTCCTCCTCCTCCTCCTCCTCCTCCTCCTCCTCCTCCTCCTCCTCCTCCTCCTCCTCCTCCTCCTCCTCCTCTAGCCATTTAACTCTTTTTCTCCCTCCCTTTCTCCCTCTCTTTCTCCAGCTCTCTCTTCCCTTACTCTCAACGCACGTCCGTACATGCGCATACACATGTGTCGATCCTTCACTCACTAATCAAGCACGTTGTTGTGATGTGTGCTGGCAGTGGTGAAATCATTGGCGTTGAAGTGGTTGATGGTGGCCTCATCTGTTCAAGTGGGGTGGCGCTAGAAGCACTTGGTGACCGCAATGATGACTGCTATGTTGTGAATGCAGCAGTCTATGTAGGATATTGAGCCTAGTGCTACTATCAAGCTATACACCTAGAAATAAATAGTTTGTTACGGCATTGAGGATGCCATCACCAATTCCCAGAGTTTTACGGAAGCTGGAAGCTACCTTCCGTAATGATGTAAGACATTTGAGAACAGAGTTGGTTTGGATGTATTTTCGCCCTGAGTAACGATGGTGTAGGTTCTCGATGGTTCTGGCTTGACCTGTGAACATTCCCCCACGCCCTGGAAACCTGGCCTCAAACGGGGACTGACTCTGGGAACTTCGGTGCCCGAACCGAACCGAAGAATTTGCCAACGTGTAGTTCAGCTCACCATACACACCCAACATCCGGCGTGTCTCGCTCTCCCCGCTCCACATGGTACACGAGACGTGGCCAAACAGCCACCTCAGCATTTGACCTTCGTGACTCCACGCTTTTTCTAGTGGCACGTAGCCAGACCGACACGCGTCTCGGACGAAATTCAGTAGCACCTAGCGCCAGCGAGCCGCTTGCTGCTCCCGCAACACATAAATCCCTCCCTCCCATTAATGGCGAATACCAACTCTCGACGTAGTGAGTCATTCTGAAGCAGAGCTTTGGAGCTGTAATTCTTTTCGATCTAATAACACGCAATAACACCAGCCTACTCCATCCGCTTCTGCAGATTCACCGCGACTCTCTCAGCCATGACTACACTCGCAGTTTCCACCTCTGCTGCAGCTAGCTCCGCAGCACTACGAGCGCGCAGCCTTCAGGCTACCCATCGCCGCGCTCTCCCCAACCCGTCCCTCGTCGCCGTGCGCCTCCAAGCACACAGAGGCTCCTCGTCCCTCTCCTCACCTACCAACCGCATCGCACCCACGCGCCTAGCCGTCCGCGCAGACTCCGTAAACCCCTCCACTTCCGATCCTGCCACCTCTCCCGCACCTCCCGCCAGCCCCGGGTTCGGGCTCGGAGGCCCGGGCACGTGGTTCGGATTCGGGTCGCTGCAGGAGCTCAGCGTGGGTCGCCTAGCGATGGTCGGTTTCGCAAGCGCGCTCACAATGGAAGTTTTAACAGGCAAGGGCGTGTTCGGTCAACTTGGCATCGACCCCCTCGCGATCCGCTTCCCGTTCCTCGCGGGACTCACGTTTCTGCTTCTAGGAGGTCTGCTGGGCGGCTGGGTGGTTATCAACAACCCGCCGGATGTTTCCAAGGCGCCGCCGAACGCGGGGGCGGGCGTGCCGCGCGATCCGTTCAGCAAAAGCGAGCTGGACCCGCTTTTGACGTACACGCGCGGGGTGGAGGTGGAGGGGGATGACGGCAAGCCCGTGGTTCTCCCCATCGTTTCCGACCTGAAGCCGCTTGATAAATAAGTGCCAATTTCGTTATCCGGCAAGTTAGCTAGCTTTTATGGCATGCGGGCGTGTGCACGCTTGCTGAGATGTGGGGGAGTGTGTGTTGAGGCAGAGGATGGGAAGTGAAAGCGGTGATTTACCGACAATGTCTAATCGTGAAGCCTGTAGCCTGCATGTATCGTTTTGTACAGCTGTTTATAGGGAATATTAATGAGTTATTGTAATTGTCATATTCACTTGCAGACCAACTTGTCTACCACCTTCCCGGTCCGCTGGATCTATGTCATCGTTTAGCAGAGCATTAGTTGGAACCCCCAGTCAATTACCCAGGTATATAAGGTACAAAAAATCATGACCCTTCTACCCTTACTTATAACCTGCTGTGTCACTGCTGACCTAATACCACCCAATGACATGAACTGTCAACACGCCAGTCAGCAGTTGGTACAGCAGAGTGTCACGCGTCAAAGCTTACAGCACTGTGGCATTTGTCTTCAAAACCATCTCAATACCTCTCCCGTATGCCTAGATATCAAAGGTCTGCACTCTGCTCACTCTCCTTGTCAGCAGGCTGGGATATCGCCACAGCGCGGCCCAGCTTTCAGCATTATTGCCCACCCCCCATACCCCTACATACCGTATAAAAAAATAATGGACTCCATTCAACACCTCCTCACTCTCCTCGGCAGCAGGCTGGGAGAGTTCCATCCATAGCACGTTTAGATATCATACCGTAAGTCTGAACAAAGTGCAGCAGCCCCCACAAACATTCAGCATGGAGCACCCGTGTCACCCCCCCCCCCCCCCCCCCCCCCCCCCCCCCCCCCCCCCCCCCCCCCCCCTGTTGCCTAAATCTCAAAGGTCTGCACTCCACTCAGCAACTCCTCACTCTCCTTGGCAGCCGGCTGGGAGAGCGCCACAGCATGACAGAGCCTGACAGCATCGGCAGGAGTGACGAAGAGCCACTGCCCGCCCACCTCTGCACCTCTAGATATCAAACGAGGGCACAGTGTTGAGCAGCTCCTCTGTCTCCTTGGCAGCAGGTTGGGAGAGAGCCACAGCCACGGCACGGCAGAGCTTACAGAATTGTGGGCCCATCTCCACACCCCCCATTTCCCCTAGATATCAAACGAGGGCACAGTGTTCAACAGCTCCTCTGTCTCCTTGGCAGCAGGTTGGGAGAGAGCCACAGCCACGGCACGGCAGAGCTTACAGAATTGTGGGCCCATCTCCACACCCCCCATTTCCCCTAGATATCAAACGAGGGCACAGTGTTCAACAGCTCCTCTGTCTCCTTGGCAGCAGGTTGGGAGAGAGCCACAGCCACGGCACGGCAGAGCTTACAGAATTGTGGGCCCATCTCCACACCCCCCATTTCCCCTAGATATCAAATGACGGCACAGTGTTCAACAGCTCCTCTGTCTCCTTGGCAGCAGGTTGGGAGAGAGCCACAGCCACGGCACGGCAGAGCTTATAGAATTGTGGGCCCATCTCCACACCCCCCATTTCCCCTAGATATCAAACGAGGGCACAGTGTTCAACAGCTCCTCTGTCTCCTTGGCAGCAGGTTGGGAGAGAGCCACAGCCACGGCACAGCAGAGCTTATAGAATTGTGGGCCCATCTCCACACCCCCCATTTCCCCTAGGCATCAAACGAGGGCACAGTGTTCAACAGCTCCTCTGTCTCCTTGGCAGCAGGTTGGGAGAGAGCCACAGCCACGGCACAGCAGAGCTTATAGAATTGTGGGCCCATCTCCACACCCCCCATTTCCCCTAGATATCATATGACGGCACAGTGTTCAACAGCTCCTCTGTCTCCTTGGCAGCAGGTTGGGAGAGAGCCACAGCCACGGCACGGCAGAGCTTATAGAATTGTGGGCCCATCTCCACACCCCCCATTTCCCCTAGATATCAAATGACGGCACAGTGTTCAACAGCTCCTCTGTCTCCTTGGCAGCAGGTTGGGAGAGAGCCACAGCCACGGCACGGCAGAGCTTATAGAATTGTGGGCCCATCTCCACACCCCCCATTTCCCCTAGATATCAAATGACGGCACAGTGTTCAACAGCTCCTCTGTCTCCTTCGCAGCCGGCTGGGAGAGAGCCACGGCACGGCACAGCTTGACGGCATCGGCAGGAGTGACGAAGAGCCACTGCTCGCCTATCTCTGCTAACAGCTGCGCGTCAAACATCTTTCGAAGGACGTCCCTGTTGGCACTCGCCAGACACAGCTGCAGGGGATTGTGGTTGTAATGAATGGAGGGAAGGGGTGGGAATGGAGGGAGTGAGTGAGGCGTTATGAACCAAGAGCCACTGCTCGCCTCTCTCTGCCAGCAGCTGTGCGTCAAACTTCTTCCTCAAGACGTCCCTGTTGGCACTCGCCAGACAGAGGTGCCGTGGGAATAGCAATGGGAATGGAGGAAATGAGGAGTGAGGAGTGACGAAGAGTTATTGTTCGCCTAGCTCTGCCAGAAGCTGAGCTTCAATGGTCTTGCGAAGTATGTCTCACCAGCTGCAGGGAACGATTGTAATGAATGGAGGGAAGGGGGGGCAATGAAGGGAAAAGGGGAAAACGGAGTGAGTGAGACGTGGTATAAGAGCCATTGCTCGCCTCTCTCTGCCAGCCGCCAAGCGTCAAACATGTTGCGAAGGACACCCCTGTTTGCACTCGCTAGAGAAAGTTGCCGTTTGTGATCGGAACAATTGTGGGAGGGGTTGGGAGGGAGAGGAGGTGGTGGTGGGGGGAAACCGAGAAGAGGCAATCAGTTAGTGACGAGGGGATGGGAGGTGAGGAGAAAGAATGGAGGGGTTCGGGAACTGACACTGAAGGACTGCCGAACGCCACCTGATTGCCAGGTCAGCTCACCTAGATGCAACCTCAGCTCACCTGAATGCCCATCTGTGTGAGGTCGCGGTGCAGATCTCTCATGGCTTCGATGGCCGTGACGTCAATGTCATGCATGACTGATAGGTCCAACACACAGTGCTGGTGGGGAAAAGAAGAGAGCAGGTGAGGGAACATGTGAGAAAAGGTTAGGTACTTACTGATGTCCCTCATAGCCTCTATGGCCGTCTCGTCGATTTCGTGCATCACTGATGGATCCAACACGCAGTGCTCCAGGGGGGGGGATGGGGAATGGGTGACAGGAAGATGGAGTTGGGTACTGCAGGTACCTCATGGCTTCAATGGCCGTCACATCGATGTCATGCATCACTGATAGGTCCAATACGCAGTGCTGCGAGGGGAAGAGGGGTGGGGAGGATTAGGTGGTGAGGGGATGGGAAGGAGGATTGGGTACTGAAGGTCCCTCATGGCCCCAATGGCCGTCACGTCCATGTCATGCATGTCTGATAGATCCAACACGCAGTGCTGCAAGAGTGGAGGGGGGAGAATGGCCAGGAGTGGAGGGGTTGAATTGGGGGATGGAGAGGCAGGGTTGGGTATTGCAGGTACCTCATGGCCTCAATGGCCGTCACGTCGATGTCATGCATCACTGATAGATCCAACACGCAGTGCTGTAGAGAGGTGGGGGATGGGGGAACGGGGGGATGGGGGATGGAAAGGTATATTCGTGTGTTGGTTGTCCCTCATGGCCTCAATGGCCGTCACGTCGATGTCATGCATCACTGATAGATCCAACACGCAGTGCTGCAGGGGGGATGGGGGGGATGGGTGCAGGTGGGGATGGGGTATGGGAAGGAATAGTCGTGACTTGAAGGCTGGGGAACTGTAGCACTAGTAGTAGCTAGTTTTGAGACGTCTCAAAACTGGGGAACTGTAGCACTAGTAGTAGCTCACTAATACTGGCTCACCTTGACTGGCTGCTGGTAACCCCTGGCGTATGCGTCACACAGCTTCTTCGCGCGCTGCCGCACAAAGCAATTACAATCACCCTGGATGCTCAGTAACCGCTCACACTTGGCAACCGCAGCACACTCACTGATAGCTCACCTTCACTGGCTGCTGGTAACCCCTCGCATAAGCATCACACAGCTTCTTCACCCGCTGCCGCACAAAGTTAGCTCCGGGGAAGTACAACGGGCTCTCCACCCTCAGCATCACAATCCCCTCGCACAGCGCGCTGTTGGGGAACTGCAGCACGCTCACGGCTGTAGCGGCGCCGTTGGGGAGGAGTCCGAGCAGGCGGATGTGCGGGCGGAGGGAGCGGAGGAGGATTTTGATGATGGAGAGAAGGATGGCGACCAGAAGGCCGATCTCGGGGGAACCGAAGAGGATGGCGAGGAAGCAGCCCGACATGACCAGGAAATCCATCTTGTCTACCCTCCACAGGGCCCACGCTGCATGGAAGTCGAGCTGTTGAAGGTGGGAGGACGGGGGGAGCAGGGAGTATCGGAGAGAATGAGCGAAGAGGATGGCGAGGAAGCAGCCCGTCATGACCAGGAAATCCATCTTGTCTACCCTCCACAGGGCCCACGCTGCATGGAAGTCGAGCTGGGAAGAGGGGAAGGAGGTGGGGAGGGAAAGGGGAGAGGAGGGAGAAGTGGAAAGAATGAGCGAAGAGGATGGCGAGGAAGCTGCCCGACATGACCAGGAAATCCAGGATGTGGGGAGGAGTGGGTGATGAGGTTACAGTGGGGGAAGCAGCCCAACATGATGGGAAATCCATCTTGTCCACCCTCCACAGGGCCCAGGCCACGTGGAAATCAAGCTTTGGAACAAGGAGAGAAGGACACATAGGAGTCGGAAGTGGGCAGGAGGGAGGTGTATGAGGGGAACTTTTCGCTTACATCCACTTTATTGCATCACTCTGTCCAAGACACAGAGTGATGCAATGAAGGAAAGTGCGTGTGAGTGAGGGTGGGATGAGGGACGTGGGAAGAAGAGAGGGATGAAGGGCAATATGGTTAAAAAGCTGCAGCGGAGACTTACCAGGTTCAAGGCAGCGTTTGCGATGACTGCACCGACCACACACTGCAGCGGAGGCATGTCTCTGACGTGCCTCGAAAACCGACCAGGTTAAGGAGGGGGTGCAGACTTACCAGATTCAAGGCAGCATTGGCGATGACTGCACCGACCACACACTGCCAACAGGGAAGAGCAGGGGGGACATGGGTTGCATGCCGGGAAGGAGAAGAGGAGAAGGGAGAGAGGATGCGTGCAAGAGTGCAACAGGTTCATGGCAGGTTCATGGCAGGTTTGGTGATAAGAGCCGAGGGAGAGAGGCAACACGGGAGCGACGGAAAGAGGGAGAGACGAGGAGGTGGGATTGAGAAGGCCCACCCCCACGTACGGGCAGCATGAGCAGCACAGGGAGGCAAGGAGCATTCTTGTCATATGGCGCACATTTGGGACGTTGTTGAAAAGCGGGGCTGTGACAAGCAGCATGAGCAGCATGAGCAGCATTGTAGAGCACATGACCCACATTGGGAACGCTGTTGCTAAGCGTGGCAGCGACCAGCAACACAAGCAGCATGAGGGGCACAAGCACAATCAAGGCCGTTTGTTCATGCAAGACCAGGGAAGAAAGGAGCGTCCTTGTCATATCACGCACATTGGGGACGTTTTTGAAGAGTGGGGCAGCGACGAGAAGCACGAGCAGAATGAGCAGCGCCATGATGACTTGCGTCAGCGCTGTCTTCGCGCCTGCTAACATGTTGACTGCCGTACGGGAGAAGGAGCCTGGTCGAGGGAAGAAAAGAGGGGGAAGAGGGGAAAGAGGGGGAAGGGGGGAAAGAAGGGGAAGAGGGGAAAGAGGGGGAAGAGGGGGGGACGAAGGAGAAAGAGCCTGGTTGGATAAGCGAAAGGGGTGGAAGAGAGGGATGCATAGTAGGTCACTTGAATGAGCGCTCTCTTGGCGCCCGCTAGCATGTTGACTGCAGGGCGGGAGAAGGATCCTGGAACGAGACTAAGGGAAATGGTGTGGGGAAGGGAAGGAGAGAACGGTGTGGGGGGGGTGGAGGGAGGGGAAGGGGAGGGGAGGGGTTGGTTAGGGTAGTGGCAGAAGAAAAACTGAAGGTAGGGAGAAGTGGAAGGGCGTCTGCCTGTAAACTGCATACATTCCACTCTGCACCACACCGTACTGCACTACACTTCAAGTCACTGTTCTGCCTCACCTGCTGCCACGTAGCAGGAGGTGAAGGAGCCGACCAGGTTCATTGAACCAAACGCCACCATCTGAAACGCAAGGAAGGGGGAGTGAGAGGAAGGGAGGGGGGGTGGGGTGGGGAATGTGGGGTAAGCAAACTCAGAAAGAAAAAGGTGACAGGGGAAGGAATTGGTTAACGAGAAGACAGAGTGGGAAGAAACGCGTAATCAACACACCCTCTTTGCTACCACTGATGCTGTAACCAGCTCACCTCCTTGTTACCATCGAGGTGGTAACCATACAGGCTGGCGAAAGTACGGGCAATTCCCACTGACTCCTGCACAAAGGGAAGCACAGGGGGAAGCAGATGTGTACAACATCTTGATATCAAGGCACGTCGCACGCGCTGACTCTCCCGGCGGCTCAGCAATCGGCTCAGAGGATGCTTCACCAGGCACCCTGAAAATGGCTTTTGAGTGCCTGGAGACTCCAGACTCAAAAGTCAACTCTCCTGGCGGCCCAGAAATCGGCTCAGAGGATGCATCTCCAGGCACCCTGAAATGAATTCAAACTCCACCCGGACCTGGCTCACCCCAAGGGAGGCAAGGCAAGTGATGGAGCCCATGAGGCGACTTTCCAGTCAGAACACAACTGCACTCAGAACGCACCCAGGGCTTAGGGCGCTCAGTGATCAGGGATCAGGGATCAGGGATCAGGGATCAGGGATCCGGGATCCGGGATCAGTGATCAGGGATCAGTGATCAGGGATCAGTGATCAGTGCTCAGTGCTCACCGCAACGGAGACAAGGCAGGCGATGAAGCCGACAGTGGCCAAGTCAGCAACATTCTCCCGCGAGAAGTTGAGGTAGGATATGGAGGAGGAGAGATGGGCTATGAGAGATGGGCGAAGCAGAGCAAAGAGAGAGATTGCTAGATCAAGGGCTCACTGCGAGGGAGACAAGGCAGGCGATGAAGCCCACAGTGGCCACATCAGCGACGTTGTCTTTTGAGAAGTTGAGGTAGGAGATGGAGGAGGCCCCGTGCAGCCCTGTGGATATCTTTCCTATCTGGACAGGGGGGCCATTGGGTGACGGGGGAGAGGGAAAAGGAAGAGAGGTGGTGGGTGGAGAGAAGTTGAGGTAGGATATGGAGTAGGCCCCGTGCAGCCCCGTGGATATCTTTCCTATCTGGGCAGGATGGGAACGGGATGACGGGAGAGAAGGTGGTGGAGCGAAGATGAGTGGAGGTAGTGGAGAGACGATGAGTGGTGGGTGGAGAGAAGTTGAGGTAGGAGATGGAGGAGGCCCCGTGCAGCCCTGTGGATATCTTCCCTATCTGGGCAGGTCGAAGGGGCAAAGGGAAGAGGACAGAAGAGGGGCGCAAGGCGGCAGAGGGCGAGGAGGAGAGAAGTTAATAAGAGGAGGTGGACAGTGGAGTAGAGAGACGATGAGCAAAGGTGGTGGAGAGAATTTCAGATAGGCGAATGAGGAGGCCCTGTGCAGCCCCATGGCAATCTTCCCTATCTCATACGCTATGGCTTATGGGAGGGAGCGCTGTGACGACTCATGGTGAGATGGCCCTTGTCGCTGAGGCGTGCAGCAGCCACGATGGTGGTTGCACAGGATAGGAGGTGTGGAATACTCAAAGCATGGCAATGGTCGCGCTCATACCCCAGTCTTATGGTATCACTCATACCTGAGAATAACGATAGTGCTCATACCCTAGGAGGGAGCGAGCGAGCACAATAAGGGCTTACAGTGGGGATGCCCTTATCCGCCAGCACTGCGGCGGCCACGATGATGGTTGAGACGAGGATGGACGTGAGTGTGAGAGAGGAGAGCTGGCAATGGCTGTGGTGTGCTGTGAGGACTCACCGTAGGAATGCCTTTGTCCGCCAGCCCGGCAACGGCCACGATGATGGTTGAGACGGGGATGGACGTGGAACACTCAAAGCATGGTCATGATAGCGCTGCACATCATACCCTAGGGCCTGGGAGAGCGAGCACAGCACCGTACGGACTCACCGTGGGAATACCCTTGTCTGCCAGCCCGGCAACGGCCACAATGATGGTTGAGACGACGATGGATGTGAGCGGGCCGAGCGCGTTGAGGTAGTAGAAGGCTTTGTTCTTGGGCTTCAGATACACCTGTGGGAGGGGTGGGGCGGTGAGGGGTGTGTGGTGGGGCGGTGGGGCGAGACTGAGGCACACACTCAAGGGGGCCGAGCACATGACGGATGTGAGCGGGCCGAGCGCGTTGAGGTAGTAGAAGGCTTTGTTCTTGGGCTTCAGATACACCTGTGGGAGGGAGAGGGAAGCATAGGCCATAGGGGAACGCGTTGAGGTAGTAGAACACCTTGATCTCGGGGGCTTCAGATACACATGTGGTGAGTTAAGGTGGTGGAGTGGTGGAGCGGTGGAGATGAGGATGGACGTCAGTGGGCCGAGCGCATTGAGGTAGTAGAACACCTTGTTCTTAGGCTTCAGATACACCTGTGGGAAGGGTGAGGGAAGCATAGAGAAGGGACCGAATCACAAGGGACCGAGCGCGTTCAGGTAGCACAACACCTTGTTCTTGGGCCTCAGATACACCTGTGGGGTGAAGCGGTGGTGGGTTGAGATTGAGACACAATCACAGGGACGGACGTGAGTGGGCCGAGCCTGTTCAAATAGTGGAGGAAGGACATATGCCCATGACAGTGTGCTCATGTCACCTCACTTTTCTCAGTCAAAGGCGGTGAAAGAACGAGGAGAGGAAAATTTCTAGAATTCTCAGATATTCCCTGCCACGTCAGGTTCAAGGGATGGGGTGGGCGTACCAGCAGGCGCACGGTGGAGAGATAGAGGAAGAAGGCCGTGCCCATGACATGCAGGTGTTGCTATGTCACCTTCTCAGCCGAGGGGGGAAAAGGGGGGGGGGGGGGGAACAGCAGGGGGTGCATACCAGCAGGCGCACGGTGGAGAGGTAGAGGAAGAAGGCCGTGCCCATGACGAACGCCTTCCATTGGAACTGCAGGCATGGGGACAATGGGAACGGGAAACACTAGCATGAGTTTGAGGCGGGGGAGAGGCGGGGGAGAGGCAGAGTAGAGACAGGGAGAGGCAGGGAGAGGCAGGATGGCAATGGGAGAGATGATGTTGACGATGCTGGTGCTGAGCGTGAAGTCCTTGTACCCCAGGATGAGCTCCAGCTGCTGGACGGCGATGGTGAGAGAGCAGCACCGCACAGCACAGAGCAGCACCTTACTACACCGAGCAGCACCGCACTGCACCCACCTGGTAGCTGTACTGCACGATGGCGGCAATAATGTTGACGATGCTGGTGCTGAGCGTGAAGTCCTTGTACCCCAGGATGAGCTTCAGCTGCTGGATGGCGATGGTGAGAGAGCACCCCGATAGGAACCCCACGATGGTCGGCTGGTTCAGGAAATCCACCAGGAAGCCGAACCTGGTGAGAGGGAGGGGGAGAAAGGCGGTCATTTGAGAGAGGTGAGCTTCAACTGCTGTATGGCAATGGTGAGAGAGCACTGCATAGCACCGAGCAGCACCGCACTGCACCGTTCGAGAGAGGTGAGCGTGAGCTTCAGCTGCTGGATGGCTATGGTCAGCGAGCAACCAGATAGGAAGCCCACAATGGTCGGCTGGTTCAGGAATTCCACCAGGAAGCCGAACCTGAAAGCGAGAAAGAGAGAGTGTGAAGAGGGAGGCATTCATAAGATGGTTGGAAGAGGCCGCAGAAGAAGGCAGCAGAGACGGTGAGGTTGGTGTAGCGCTGGGTCAGCTGCAGGGTGGACCGGCGCGCTGAGGGAGGTGCCAAGCAGCTGAGAGACCAGCCCAGTCGCACAAGTCCCTCCTCCCACTCACCGGCAGTGCCCCATGATGAGTTGGAAGAGGCCGCAGAAGAAGACGGCGGTGCTGATGGTGGCGCCTAAACCAAATCAAGACCAGCCCAAGCCCAGTCACACCAGCCCGGCACACTGACAATGGCAAGCCCTACCGCTTACCGGCAGAGCCCCATGATGAGTTGGAAGAGGCCGCAGAAGAACGTTGCAGTGATGGCAAGGCTGGTGTAAAGCGCCAGGTCGGTGGCGGGGTTGACCAGCGCGCTGAGGGGCGTGGCGGGGAGCTGTGAGACGAGCCCAGTCACACAAGTCCAGCACACTGACACTGACAGTGGCAAGCCCCACAGCTTACCGGCAGAGCCCCATGATGAGTTGGAAGAGGCCGCAGAAGAAGGTGGCGGTGACTGCAAGGCTGGTGTAGAGCGCCGGGTCGGTGATGGGGTCGACTATTGCACTGAGGGACGTGCCGAGCAGCTGAGAGACCACTGAGACGGGCGCTATGACGAGGTGCTTGGAGGAGCCCTGTATGGCGTAGAGGAGCGGCGGGATGAAACTGGTGCCTGGTGGAGGGGGAGGGGAGAGAGGAGGGAGGGAGTGAACGGGAGAGAAGGGGAAGGAAGGGTGAGGGGGGGAAGGAGGAGAAAGATCAGGGTGGATTAGAGAGCGAAGGGAGGTACATGAGAATCGACTGACACGAGCCAATCAGCAGGTGCTTGGAGGAAGCATTTAGAGCGCACAATCCAGCAGAGTGGGGTGGCAACTGGTGCGACGGGGGATCAAGGAAGGGAAATATAGTTAAGCAAGGGCAGTATCACTTCAACCCCAAGAGAACCTACCCATGGCATGGCAACGTGCGTGGATTCATGTCAGTGAACGGAGAGAGTGAATATGGAGGGAGGAGGAAGATAAAGAGGGAAACTCACGGAGAGCGAACTCGGCAGGGAGGTTGGCGTACTTAGCGTATGAAACGTCCTGAGAGAGGGAGAGTGAGAGGGAGGGGGGTGGGGGGGCAGGCGAAGGGGAGTGGGGAACGAGGAGTTACCAGAGCAGACGTGTGGGGCAAGAAGAAGTAGGATGTGAGCAAGGGTGGGGAGAACGTGGGTGCAGTGCAGTGCAGTGCAACTGTCCAAGAACCAAGTGTCTTTCCCGGACGGCTCGCTCTGGGCGATGGCTGCATACGTCGGGTTGGGCTCCAGTGATTCGCGGCGAGGAGTGCGCTCGTCGAGTTGTTCTGGGCTCCACCACCACCACCACCACCACCACCACCACCACCACCACCACCACCACCACCACCACCACCACCACCACCACCACCACCACCACCACCACCACCACCACCACCACCACCACCACCACCACCACCACCACCACCACCACCACCACCACCACCACCACCACCACCACCACCACCACCACCACCACCACCACCACCACCACCACCACCACCACCACCACCACCACCACCACCACCACCACCACCACGCATCACAACACACCGCCGTACCGCAATATAGGAATGCAATACTCACCACTCCCTGCCTGCCTCCCACCCACCGCTCACAGAGCCCACCTCGCATTGCCCACAATGCACCAATGCAGCTCCCATCGCCCACCAACCACGGCTCACCTGAGGCACGGACATGATAGCAATGGACAAATGTCACCCAGCAGGTAGTACCGCCATGCAGCATTGCAACGCTCACCACCCACTGCCCGCCGCTCATCGCTCATTGCCCCACCACCCACCGCCCACAGCTCACAGCACACAACTCACCTGGGGGACGGACATTATAGCGATTGATACGCCCCCGATAATGTCACCCAGCAGGTAGTACCGCCAGTTGTAGGAGATTGATGAGTCGATTCAAAAACCATCTCCCCACCGCCCATGGCTCACCTGGGGAACAGACATGATGGCGATTGACACGCCCCCGATAATGTCACCCAGGAGGTAGTACCGCCAGTCGTACTCAGGCAGCCACGCGAGGATTGGGAACACGCCCTTGAGAAACACCCAGATCTTCTCCCGCCACGGCTTTCCGCGAAACTGCTGAACGGGGTCTGCTTCTGGGAAGAACACCCACTTGAGCGGCATTAGAGACTCTGAAAGCTCCTCCTCTAGAGTCACATCCGGCATTGGAACATTCCTGCCTTCCACGGAAGCTTCCTCTTCCTTTATAGGGTCTGGGAACGGAGATGGGGGGACCTGGTCGTTATAGTCACCTAGCTCGAGAATCGCGCCCCCGCTATTGTCACCAGCGCCGGACACGTGGCTCCCCCAGGCACGAGGCGTTTCGTTATAAGCAGACAGGGCGCTGCTGCTCGTACCGGACCAGTGCTGCTTCCCGCTCCCCTCCCCGCTTTCCACGCGCCTTAGCCTCCTCCCGCTCCCCCCATCTCCGTTAGTATTACCCATTCCATCCGCGTTATTAACTGCCCCGCTGCTGGATCTCGAAAGCGCCCTGGCGCTGCCACCTCCGCTCCCCAGGGACCCCCGCGAGCCCCCAGAGTTCCCATCCCCGTGAGTAGCATACCCACCCGGAGTGGGATAGACAGGACCGTGAGCTACACGCACTGGTGCAACGGCGCCTGCAGGGACCGATGCTCCTGCTCCTCCGACTGCTCCTCCTACTGATGCTCCACGTGTCAGCGGTGCAGTGGTCGGCGAGACGATGCGATTCTCGTCGGAGTAGGATCTATGAAACGGAGCCGCCATGGTTTTTAGCCGCAACTAAGAGCGTGGCCGCGCGGCGCAGATGTGAGAGGCCTCTGTGGTTTAGTTAGAGCTGTTTTGAGACGCCTCAAAACAGATCTGCTTTCAAAACAGAGCTGTTTCCAGAGCTGTTTCCAGAGCTGTTTTCAGACGTGGCCCCCTGAGTGCAGAGGTGCTGATTCATAGGTGGTTCGGTCCTGGCAATGGCTTGGCAATGCAACTGACAAAGGTTGAGGCTTGGCCGGGACAGGCTTTTAGCCTGATTTCGATTCACGCAGCTCGCATACGGCGGCGTGGATGATCTTATACAGGGGACGTCTCTAAACGGACGGAGGAGAGAACGAGGTGTTCTCGAGGTAGAGAGGACCGAATGGACGGGACGAGCGGAAGGAACGGTCGACTGAAGGCCCGCCGTTTCATGACCAGCGGAAGACTGGATAATGAGGTTCAGAAAGAACTCTGCATCGTGTTCTGAGACGTCTCGAACTCTCGCCCGCCGGATTCACGTGAGAACACTCATCGAGTGCAGGAGCAGCAGCGGTGAGAGATGGGGGAGAGGGTTCGGGAGGAGTAGGATAGGGGGGAGGGAGGGATCGGAGGGGGCCAAGGCTGCAATGCCGCAAGGTCACGCTCTAGAAGCCGGCACGACTGGTGCGCTACAGTACAATAAATATTCTGTACCGAAATTTCTCCAAAGCGATGCTGTTGTACTGTTTTGGCGGTGGAGAGTAAGAGTAAGAACCTGGCTGAATGCGCAAAGCGGCGCGTATCATAACGTGGGGTGGAGCATAGGGGGAGGGAGTCACTCGCGCGATCCGCGATCATAACGGCGGTGGTGGGTGATGGAGGATTCCCCGCACACGGATGATAGGCGGGAAGGGGGAGGGGAGAAATCGGGGGAGCGAGAAACCGAGGGAGCGATAATGGGAGAGGGAGTACATTGGAGTGAAAAAGAGGAGTCCTCTCTCCGAGAGGTGCCTTGAAGGAGAGAATGGGAGAAGGGCCTAGGGCCAAGAAATTGCGTCCAAAGGAACGACAATTCCAGGGGTCAAACGCTACTGTAGCTGGCTGGTTGCTTGCTTTCCCCAATCCCCACGTCTAACGACGAGTCGCATCGCACTTCACAGTGCGGACGTACTGCTGTGTTATCGTTCAGTCCGAACAGCATAGAGTACTACAGTAGTAGCTGAGGTCCCAACCAACTCCCAGTATGCATGTAGACTGGACACAGCAGGATGCAGTGGCAGGGATTCCAAACTTCCAACATGGAACGCAACGCAGAGCGTGCGATTCCAGCGACAGCCGCCGAATGAGCTGCATCTCGACACTGCGAACTCTCGTACAGTACAGTACGATCCCGTGCGAGCGACCCTCGCGAGAATGGTGTTCGGTTCGGAGAGCCTGGAGCGTACATGTCCCCGTGGTTGAGCGTGTAAATCCTCGTGCCATCTACATACTCTGCACCAGTCACGTCCTGCTTCTATGAACGCCATTGCATTTAGAGCACCGGCGCTGGACGTTTGGCTGCTAGTGCGACGGGAGGCTCCAATAAGAAGCCTAGAAAAGGCAGGTTACCAGCAGCTTTTGCAGGATCTGTGTGTGCAAGCACAGCGGAATGAGACAGCAAGCTATGAGCGTTGAGCACCTGAAAATGACGAAGGCAATCTCAAGTCGAAATTAGACGCCACCAGGACAGCTGTGGAATCAGTAAGGCCAGATTCAGTGAACAAACTTCTGTTCTCAATTTAGTGCTGATTCGTTTTCATCCTTCGCAAATTTCCGAAAGAAAGCATGTAGAACCAGCTGTGAGGATGCACTCAGAGTTCGAGAACAAAAGCTTTTTCCTCTGTACATTAGATTGACCTGCCTAACTCAAAGTAGAGTCTACAATATATCGAATCATCTAGAAGGGAACTGCTTGTGACTGATGATGTCAGCCGGTCAGTTGAATGGGACTTGCAAGTGACAGGTCAGTCCCCTGTGACTGGACACAATCCCCTCCGAGTCCAATGAGTCGCAGAGAATGTGATGGAGTCACGCCTGTAGTCTGCGGTCATTCTGCTCGCGCCATTCGACTGCCAGGAGTGAAATTCTGTACAGCTCAGGCGTGAATTGTAGGGGAAGTTCCCGTTGAAATACTCTATGCGGTGGTGAGTCACTCTGCTAGTTCTCTTGTTGGTCGCTTGAAGATTGAGAGAGAGCGTTGCGTACTAGCTACTCGACAACAGTTGGCCACGCGATTCAGTCATAGCAGGTCGTTCGAAGATCCTGGCTCGTGCAGCCCTGTACATAGGTAGCTTCTGAGCGTCTAAGTTAATAAGTGCCGGGGATTTGCGACTGATTACAGCAACGCGGCTTGCCGTCTATCTATCTCCAGTTGCGCTTCCTGGTGTCGTTCCCAGTATCTCGTGTCAGTTTATGTAGGTCGCTGTGGAACAGCCTGCTCGCCCTCCTCGTTTCCAAGCAGCCTTTAATACCATAAGATTGCGTCCTCGAATTCAACCAAACACTTGCTATCTCTTATCAGGGATACATTTCTCACTCTCTATTTAGCCGAAACGATAGTGCTGACGGACGTCGACGGAAAGCGGACGAAGCGGACGAAGCCGTCGACGAAACGAAACGGCTCGGCGTCGAGATCCATGGACAGACTCTCAGAAGCCGACGCGACCGACAATCTTGTCGGCCTGAAACCACCAGCCGACGCCAATTTGAGAGGTCCTGCCTCGTCGAATTCTGAGGCTCCTCAGAAGTTGAAACCTCCAGCCGATGTTATCTTGGACGTTCATAGCTTGAGAAGCCTTTCGTCGTCGACTTGTGAGGTTCCACAGAAGTTGAAGCCACCAGCCGATGCCGTCTTGCGCGTTCCCAGCTTGAGAGGTTCTACCTCGTCGATATGTTCTTTCTTCATCGGCGTGTATTCTCCCATAATTCGCTTAATATCGAATCATCTGTCCCCGTTTGTGACTACAAAGTCGGGGGGTTCTTCAAACGATCAGGGAAGCAGAAGCCAAATAAGCACGCACGGCATGGACTGGTTTTACGACATGTTGCTAGCTGTCAACGCGTTACTCCTTATACTCGTTATAGCACGTTCCGTTCCGCAATTATGGGTGGACCCGGCTGCTAACGGAGCGGGGGACATCGCACGCGCAGAAGGCGCGGCATCTGCGGGGGAAACGCCGCTGCGCGGGTCCGCCTGGGGGGATTGGGGGAAACGTTCACTCATGGGGTGTAACGTATTACCCTAACTACCGAGCTAACAACCATCGATCTCTCTCTAAGTCAATTGTTGAGAACTTCTCTCGACAAAGGAAGAGTTGGAGAAGATGGTTGAGTTGGTTGGGATGAAACTTGGTTTGGGTTTGCCAAGCCTCAACTTTGGAGGTTTGGAACATTTCCAACTCAACCAAGAGAATGTTGAAGGTTGGAATTCCAACCAATCAGAAACTGCCAAACAAGTGTTACAATCTACTCTATCCTAAACACAACCATTGAATGGTTCTAAGTTGGGTTTTCCAACCCAACACAATTGCCACATAGACTCCAAGCCTAGGAACCATCCCACCATGGAAACCATGGTTGGGATAGTTCCCCAAGGGGTGTATTGAGGGGGTCTGAGCTAAGCAAGCTCATTCTCAACCTCCCACTCCAACAAAACAATTGGAAATGGGATTGTTTTGCCTAAGTCATTGAGAGCTCTCTCACAAGCCTTCCTACACAATTCTCTCAAGCCTTTTCAACAACTCCTTCAAGAAGATTGACACCTCCAAGGCTATTGGGAGCTAGTTAGAGCTTCAACTTGTATTGAGATTTATTATAAAAGCATTGTAACTCCATTATTATAGCCTTGGGTGTTACATTGGTATCTAGAGCAAGGTTCTTCCTTGGCCTTGTGTGGCCATTTGCTACTTGGACTATTTTTTTTTAGAGGATCCTAGCTTGTGGATCCAGGATTTCATCCAAGGAGCTATCAAGATCTTTGAAGATTTTGAAGAAATTTCAAGATCTACAAGTGGTTCTTCAAGATCTACAAAAGCTTCTACAAGATCTCCAAGCTTCAAGCTTCAATCTCCTCAACACACCATTGGAGCTTCAAGATCTACAAGGAGCTCATTTTTCTTCATCAACATTGAGAAAAAATTTGAAGAGATTAATTTCTCTTACCCACCTTTGGTGGAAGACTCTTGATCTACTTTGTGTAGAAGAGTGTACCTTCAGATCTATAAAGGGCTTGTTGAGGATTACTCTCTTGAGTATATCTTGCTCTATCATTGAGGTGATAGAGAGATTTGGCAAACAAGTCTATCTTAAGAGATTCTGTATTGGATTATTCTATAAGAGTAATCAGATTTCTTAAAGATGATTATAAGATCTGTTGAGATCTTCTCTCCTTAACCTGTTTCATGGCTGCTGGTCAAGAGATGGATGCTACTAAGGAGGTGCCCATTGTTGGCACTGAGGGAGATAATGCTGCTGCTGCTGCTGACATTGATCTCAACCTTGAGGATTTCGTGGTTGACATGGAGATCAATGGAAGTGAAGCTGACCTTGAGGCTGATGCTGAAAATGAGGAAGAGGCTGGCTCTGATGAAGGTGTTTCCAATGAAACTGAGAACATTGCTGTCAAGCTCCAGACTCAACTCACGGAGCAGAATATTCTCATTGGAGTGCAACAGTGTCGTATCCAGAACTTGGAGGCTGATTCTGTTAAGCTTCAGGCCTTGATTGAGCAGCTGACCAGGGAGGTGCAGTTGATCCCTAAGGAAAACGACACCTCCAGCCTCATTCAGGACCTGCACAACACTCTTCAGTTCGTGCAGGATCAGCTCAAGAAGCAGGAGAAAAGCATCTCTGTGCTTCAGACCCAGTACAGGGAGATCCGGCGTGGAAACCTCTACCAGCCTGCTCCTGCAGCAGAGCGAGTCGCCAACGCCGCTAACAGCCGTGCTGCACCTGCTGATGCACCTCCTGCTGTTCCTCCTCCTACTGGAGCACGTGCT